AAAATAATAAAAAATAGTGGAAAAAGAGAGATGATTGAAGAAGAGAATATTATTTTGCAAGTTTTTGGAAGATACAATCATTGCCTTTAAGGCTCGTTTGGTGGACAGGATAGGATAAGGGTAGGATATGATATGGGGCTGATAAGTCTATATCATGTCATGTGTTTGGTGAGCACCTAAATAGCAATCTGATAAGATTATGTAGAAGGAGAAATGATAAAGAAAAAATAAAATATAATGCAATAAATACAAATATATTGGGTAGCGTGGGGATATATTGGATAGCGTGAGGATATATTGGGTATCTAATATTGGTATCTTATCCTGTTGAATCCTAACCCAGCTCCTCCTATAGGATAAGAAAGGATAAAATGAGACAATATGATAAACTAATCATATCCTATTAACCCACCAAACAAGAGATAAAAGTAGGATATGATAAGTTATCTTATCCTATCTGCTTTATCTGGTGCTCCAAACAGGCCCTTAAAGTTGGAATCAGGGTTATTAAACACGACACGCAACTGCTGGCGGTTGAATTCAAAATGATACAATTGGCCCGAGTGACAGAACAAATCAATCATATAACTGATCCAATCGGTTCAACACAGTTCATTTTTTTGCCAAAAATTCATCATCCAGTCAATTTTCTTTAAAATGGTTAAATAGGTGGATCATGAAAAAAAATTTGATATCTATTCTATCATGAAAATAGAAATGTCTAGTCTAATAGATTAGTGAGTTTATCTTGGAACTATATGCTCTCCTTAAGGTATTTATGAATTAGATACCATTGAGTATGACAGATCACCGTGCACAAGTAAGAAGAAAACGACTTTTGCCAAAGTAGTGATGCGTGTATACAGTGACATCATAACAGTAAAGAGAGAATAATCCATACTTGTGGGTTTTACCTCTAATTTATAGGGTTTACATATGGGTATTAGGATTTGGACCTTATGTGCTTCTTCTAGCAGCTCAAGCCCAAGTCTGATGTTGTCGTATTAGGAATTATATCTTTGATTAATATCTTCCTTTGATTATATCAGAATCATGTTTGGATTGCCTTTTATTGGGCCATATATTAAATGTGCCTCATATCTTAGTCCATAACAGTTGCCCCCCAGCGAGGAATCTGGATATCCGAGCTGCCGGGATGTATATAAATTTCTGACTTTAAAAGTCACCCGAATTTCTGTAGATTTCTATGCTTATCCAGGTTTTAATTAAAATTTGCCCAGATTCCCTTTGAAAAGTATCCTGGTTTAATGTATTGAATTTCTTTTAAGAGATAATATATCTGTTCTCTATCCAGTAACTTGAATCTTTAAATTGCTTGGATATAATTCATATAAATCCAATCCACGTTATGACCAGTCTTGGATTACCTTTATTTTCGGATGATGAATTTCCATAGTTCGATCTTTTTATCAACCCGGTTTAAATGCAATTTACCAAATTTATTATTGATTTATTCTACAAGAGAGTATCTCTCTTGAAACCCGGTGCTTAGTCTTTACATAATCTCTTATGTTTTGACTTCACATGAACCAAGCTAATCGTTAGGTTTAATATATTCGAAAATCATGATTATGAGATAAAAGCTTCATATTTTTCAAGTAATGATGGGATCCTTACACATGGTTACTTTTGACTGTGCTAGCATGTTGTAGCCAACTTATGCCGCCCTCGCACTTCGTGCGCATTTAATGCAAAAATCATTTCATCCCTCTAATCATTATTATAGCAAATGAATTGATGTTTATGCCCCTGTCTTTTGCTATTCGTAACTCCAATGGTTACGTTTTCATTTCATATATCCCCTTTCTTCTTTTATTTGCTTCTCATTTGCAGTTTTTGAGGAGTTTACTTTGTGTTCTTTCTTTTCGTCTCTGAAGAGTTTGTTTTTCTTTGCATTTAAAAACTCTTATCATCTTCAACTGAGGTACCACCATTTATCCTTTAAATGTCTCTTTTTCTTTGTTGTATTTTGAATATTTGAAGTGATTCATATTCTTGAACCCTCACTTGTCAATCACCTCTTTCGTTTCTTTGGCTTTGTAAATATCTTAATGATCTTATCTCCTTGTGCATTCTGCACCTTTGAATCTTTATTGCTTTTTCCCGATATTGTACTGTATTCGGTGAAGTTTAGTGAATCCTATTGAACTTGTGTAGTATTTTTGGTGTTTCTTCATACAACTTTTTCCTTTTTTTATATAAAACACTTTGAGTGTTACAGTGTTGCTTTTGACAATGAGAAAGAAAAGAAACTTCTCTCATTCTGAACGTGATGATACGACAAAGGATGATGAAGTCACATTTCTTCAAAGCATTCCACCTAGACCCCGATTTTCTGTTGTCCTGGGACAGAAAGTAGTGGGAAATGCCACCCATGATGTTGATGTGCCTATCACCGAGGAAGAGATGGACCACCGGTGATTGATCGAGAGACTCGGGAGAGGATGCTGAATGCTTTCAGGAAGCATTCCCCACCCCACTACAATGGTGGAAGAGCCCCTGTTGCTGCCCTTGAGTGGCTACACGAGATGGAGCGCATTTTTAAAGTTATGGAGTGTGATGCATAGATGAAGCTTCTGTATTCTATTTATATGTTGTAGGGAGATGCAGCGGACTAGTGGAACAATGTCTAGCTTCCACTAGAGTGCCAAGTATGCTATCACTTGGCCACTATTTGAGAGACACTTCTTGATTAAGTACTTCCTCGAAGAGCCTAGAGAAAAGAATAAAAGGGAATTTGACGATCTCTGGCAAGGAAACACGACGGTGGATGAATACTTAGTAAATTCAACCGGTTGGCTAAATATTCTTGTTACGGTAGAGTTCCCCTCACTCTAGAAGATAAAGCATTTAAATTCAAAAGGGGCTTGAATGACATGATTGCAGACAAGCTGGCTAGTCATTGTTCAAGAGATTTTGTGTAGTTGATTAAGCAGTGCCAGGACATACAGGAGTATTATAGTACCCGAGGCAAGGACACTACAGGAAAGAGTTTCCATGGGAAGACTACTCACTGGAATGGAAAGGGCAAGGGCTTGCAGGTGAAGCAGAACGGAAACAAGTTTAAGAGGAATGGAAATTTTAATAATGGGAATGCAAGAGCTGGGAATGGGAAGATTCCTACTTGTGCTAAGTGTGGGAGGTCTCATTTTGGTGTCTGCCGGATTGGGCAGAATGTTTGTTTCAATTATGGGCAAGCAGGCCACTATTCGAAAGAGTGCCCCCAGAAAAAAGGGGCAAGTTGTGGCTATCCAAGCTATGCCTATTCAGGCTGTTCTGACTCCCATTACTATTGAGGAGCATCCAGTACCTCCTGTTGCCCGAGTTTATGCAGTTACCGAGCAGGAAGCGAAGTAGTCTCCAAACTTGATCAGAGGTACTATTCTCATTGATGGCTATGATTTTGATGCATTGTTTGATTCTGGAGCCACCTACTCCTTTATTTCGGGTTTTATTGCAAATGGTTTGAACTTTCCTATATATGCATTTACACCTCCTATGGTAGTGAAGACTGCCACCGGAGATTTAGTTTCCACTTCTTTGATATGTAAGAAAGTCAAGTTCAGTTATGAAGAGAATGAGTATTTAGTTGATTTGATTGTACTTGAGGGTAAGAATTTGCACATCATTCTGGGCATGGATTGGTTAGTTAGACATAGAGTTATGATGTATTGTTGTAAAAGGAAGATTTATTTCTCTGTTAAGAATGAGAAGAAGGACTCCCCATATTTATCAATGTTGCAGATGATAAAGGCTCTAAATGCGGGAGATGCAGGATATATCATGTTAGGAGGATTGGTTGGTGACTCTAAGAAGACAACTTCTAGTATCCCTATTGTATGTGACTTTGAGGATGTTTTTCAAGAAGAGATCCCATAGTTTCCACCAGAAAAGGAGATTGAATTCTCCATTGATCTATTTACCGGTGTGGGGCCCATCTCTATGGCTCCATACCGGATGCCACCAGTGGAACTTGTAGAGTTGAAAAAGCAAATTGAAGATCCTTCTAGCAAGAATTTCATTAGATCGAGTGTGTCTCCTTGGGAAACACCAGTTATCTTTGTGAAGAAGAAGGATGGAACTATGAGGTTGTGCACGGATTACCAGCAATTGAACAAGGTGACTGTGAAGAACAAGTAACCTCAACCTCGCATTGATGATTTATTGGACCAACTTAGAGGTGCTTCGGTATTTTCGAAGATTGATCTTCCTTCCGGATATCATCTGATCCGGGTAAAAGTAGAAGATATTCCGAAGATGACCTTTCGATCTAGGTATGGGCACTATGAGTATCTGGTGATTCCATTTGGGCTTACAAATGCCCCGGCCGTGTTCGTTAGCTATATGAATCGGATCTTCAAACCTTACTTAGATCAGTTTTTTGTGGTCTTTATTGATGATATTCTGATCTACTCTAAGAGCAAAGAGGAGCATGTAGAGCATTTGAGGATTGTTTTACAGATCTTGAGAGAGCATCAGTTGTATGCAAAACCGTCCAAGTGTGACTTCTGGTTGTATAAGGTCCAGTTCCTGGGACACGTCATTTCATCTGAGGGAGTGGTTGTTGATCCAAGCAAGATAGAAGCAATTTTCGATTGGGAAAGACCCAAAAGTATTACAGAGATTCGGAGTTTATAGACAGTTTTTTGAGGGATTCTCAAATATGGTGTTACCATTGACTCAATTAATCCGAAAAGGGACACCTTTTGTGTGGACACCAAATTGTGAGGTTAGTTTTCAAGAGCTGAAAGGAAATTGACAACACCACCAATTTTTATTCTTCCTAATCCGGAGGGAAAATTTGAAATTTACTATAATGCATCCAAGTTTGGATTAGGGTGCGTGTTGATATAGGAATGCACATATATGCATATATACCAAATATCTCACTATCAATCATATACACAATTTAACCATCATCCTTAATGGACTTTGGCGGAACAACAAAGACAGAGGAAAACTCTTAACAAAGAGCTTACCTGTGAAGCTTTACTCAAAGACAACTTGATTCCCCACTATTTTGCTCCTTAACTCACTCTAGTATCACAAATGAAACACTATCAATTACTAATTAAGTGTCACTTGCAATTCAAACAATTAACATCTATATGTTAATTTACCAATTTACTTAGGTGATTTATTCAACTCTTAAAACCACTTTTCTTGAATTGCTCTTATTAAATTCTAAAACTTTACCATCTTAACCTAGATGTCATAAGCTTTACAACGATGTATTATAAGCTCTATTTCAATAAGTATAACTCAAGATACGTCTACCGTAAGCAAATTGCTTAAACCTGTCGTCAAATATAGGACAACAGACACTCTGTATTATTCTCGAAATATTAACCAACCTAGTTTATTCTGAAATTTTTGTGACCAATACTAGACATCTTGGGTTTCAATTTGACATAAGATTCATCCTGTTTAATTCAGAAACAAAGGAGTTATGAATTTTCAAAACTTCAAGTACCATGCAGCCCACACAGGCAGATTCTAACACTGTCCACACTTTCTTAATCTGGGAATGATCCAGACTCATAAAAATAAAATCTCTTTTTTACATGAAACTAGACATCTTAAACTTTAATTTGATGCCTCACACACTTCATTTCATTAAGAAATGAGTGAGATATGCCCTTTTCAATTTGGACTTATGGCAAACAACATTGTTTTACAGCAGGAACACCCTTCACTCTTTTAATCATGAAATCTTTAATTCTAGTTTTTCTATTCTGAAATTTTGATATGTTACACTAGACTTACATATGTTTAATTTGGAGTAAACCACACTCCAATTGGAGTTCTACAACTCCAATTATAAATTTTCAAAATAGAAGCCAGATTGCCTCTATTAGGGTTTTTCACTCTTTCTTTAGACTAGTTTGCTTAATTTTCTTTTAGTTCAACAACTAAGCTTTAATCCCATCAAAACCTCATCAAATATTCAATATTTTAACATCATATATTCAGCCTTAACATAGGAAGAATAAAGATGAAATCTCAAGATTAAACCACTAGAAATCAAGTAGGTTACCTTGTTTAGCTTCTAGGAGAACACTAGGTTCATCTCCACACTTTAAACCCTTAAAACCATCATATCTTTACACCAAGTCAGCCATACATCCATGCCTTTGGAGAGTATAAACTCCACTCATACAGCCCCTCTTGAGAAATTAATTACATGGTTGGATTCCTTAGCTCCTAAACTACAAGTTTCATGTAGAAGCTTTCACCTAAAAGTGTTTAGTTTAAGAGATATGACTTAGCTCCTTTTCAAGAGACTATGTTCAGCCATGAGAAGTATAAGGAAGAGAAGAAAAATAGAGCAATTACGTTGTCCCTCTATAGAAGAGATGGCTGATTGGTTTTTAGAAGAAAATCCTAAGTTACTTTAACTTATCTTCCAAATTTGTACCTTCTAGATTTTTCTCCAAAGTTTGCCACTTTGTCAACTTGATCTTTCTTATCATTGGTCCACGTAATTCCCTTTACTTTATAAATATGCTCAGCTGCCCTTTTGAAGAGGAAGATAACCGATTATACTTCCAAAAAAATCGCAGTGTCTTAGTTTTGTACTTTTCAAACTAGCCTACCACTTTTGACTTTCAAACCTTCATCTTTAATTCTATTGGCTACTTTTCCTATATAAGTTCAGCCCTCTAATCTGATCCCTCAAAGGCAGAATGCGCACAAGTCATGTAGGGAAGAAAACAATCAACCAATCATGTAGAAATTCAACAATTCAACAAAACTATTCAATCAATAGTTTTATAGTCTTTCTTTCAACTTTGACCTAGTCATCCTTTTAAATTAATATAATTGGTCCATCTTAAAACATATAATTTCATATGTATAATAACTTAAAGGAAAGCATTCAATCAACCATTTAGTAGAAAATAAAACTAGGTTATCAAACGGCAAAAAAATTAAAATAATGCATTTAAATTAAATAATTACGCATTTAATGCTGTTTTGTAAAAAATTACACATCTACTGCACAATGTGACGCCACTTTTGGGCGTCACATGTGACGCCCAAAAGTGGCTTCACATGTGTGCTCTATATATTTCCCCACCCCCTCAATTCAATTCACACCTCTTCTCTCACTCTTCATATCTCTCTTCTCCACCAACATTCATTTATCTTTAATTTAGTATTTGAATTTTATTTCTTATTCTATTTAAAAATGAGCTCAAATCCTGATTATGTTCGTGTTGTGTTATATTACAATGGTAGGAAGGTAGAAGGTCGACGAGGTGTCATCTTCGAAGGTGAAAAAAGGCCGACACGTATCCAAAGCAACACGACCATTGGCGAACTGCATCAGAGAATTCGGCAGAAGTTAAGTCTTCTAGACAACCAATGTATCACTGAGATCACGACAAGGGTGTGGCAAGGTGATAAATACATTAGTTTGAAAGTGCTTGACGATGAAGACTTGGAGATGACAATGGAAGAATTTTGCAACCAGTCAAGGACAGATTTTCTAGAGTTGTATGTCGACATCGCCGCAACCGAGAATGCTCCCTTACCGGTGAGGTCAGTTTATTTAAATTCTCCCTGTTGCGGATCTAGCAAGTGTACTAGTCGTACAAGTAATAAAATGATGAGTAAAGATCGTTCCCACAGAGATTTGTATTCAAACACCAATTAAACATAAAAAACTAATTTGAATCAAACAAGAGTTTGTAAAAATCATGAGTGTTTTGTCACCAAAAAATTGATTTGAAGTAACAGAATATAATGCTAAAATATGAATTAAGATTTACTAAAACAAGTAGTCAGAAAACAACTTCCCTTAACAATAAACTCATGTAAAAACTGACCTTATGATGAATTCTTTTTTATGAGATGTTAATCAACCTTTTACTTATTATCAAGATGTAATCCCTTACTACCCTGATAGATACATTAATCAGAAACCCCAATCCCTTAGTGATTCCTTTCTTAATACATACATTAAACACTAAGGTCTTAAGATTACATCAGAACTCTAGCATCAATCCCTTGAGTACTAGAATCTTGATGATGAGATTGCCAGATATAGGAGTAGTGTAAACATTCCTGTTCTACACTACTCCCTTAGTAGAAAGAATTAAATAAGAAAATCTCATATCAACACATGAAAAATACTTCTTCATATTAATCAAACATACATAAGATTATCATTAAGTTCCATTGAATTCAGACCACAATGACTATACTCAGACATAACTAAAGAATACACAAGAGAAGAAAGATCAAACTCCATTTCCTTGCAGTGAATCTTCAATCTCCAAGTACAATTACATAAGAAACTAACTACTACAAGAACTAAGTCCTAAAGAAATTTAGAGAGAAGTCAGATCAGAGAATCTGATGTAAGAGAGAGAGAGAGAATCCAGCTTTTTTTGAAAAAGTGAAGGCCCTTGCCTTATATAGTTTTACAAATTCAAACAAAAAAACTAACACGGGCGCTAAAACGTTCAGGAATGAGCGTTTTAGCGTCCATGCTTGACGGATGCCCAACTGCTTCAAACTGACTCCAGCGCTAAAACACTTGGTTTGGACGTTTTAGCGTTGGAGACCAGAGTCTTTTTCCAACAGCAGGGCGCTAAAACGCTTGATCAGGAAGTTTTAGCGCCCAAGACCAGCAATTTTTTGTCCCCGGATTGTAGCAGCGCGCTAAAACGTTCTGGGTGGACGTTTTAGCGCTCAGCACAAGCAAGTTTTGGCTTCTTTCTGCAGCAGGGCGCTAAAACGTTCTGGATAAACGTTTTAGCACTCAACACTTAGAATTTTTCTCTTCTTCATAATCTTCTTCCTTCTCCCAGCTTCCCTTTACGCTTGCTTTTCCTACAAGAATAATGCAAATTTTCAATAAAGCTTCTTGAACTTGTAGTTGAGGACATTCTAGGACACGAACCTCTTTTTCCATTATTTAATCACACAAATTGATACTAATTCATGCTGAAAAACCTGATGAACTAAGGGTTTATCACAATTCCCAGATTTGAATATTGCTGTCCTCAACAATAACTTTAAAAAAACAGAGAAAGACTTGAGATTCCTTACAAATGAAACTTATGAGGATGGATTTGAATTATGACAGATCAACATTCCACGATACAATCTTATAACCAAGCAATCTATCATTTCCCATGACTTGCCCAACCTCATTATATGACTTTCAACAGATCAGTAAAGATGAAATACAGATACTTTCAACACAAAACACCCCCTCACTAGGAATTTCTCAAAAATTGTGAGAATTAAACTCTCTTGCACTCTAGTGTCTAAGGGTGTACTCATCACTCGATCTTTACTGCACTTAAACTACCATAAGCTTGCCCATCTTCTCACTTTCCACAGTGACACTGATCCATAAAGTAGATCAAAAGAGACTTTGGTGGTATGGCTTGGCTAGGAATAGGATTCTGTATAGGAGGAGGGAAATGTCTTGGCATGTGGTTTGGCTAAAGGTAGGATTTAATGTTACAGAAGGGTTCAGATTAGATGAATCAGATTCAGATAAGAGGAGGATCACAATTGAATTTATCTATGTGCTCCTTAATCCTTCTCATTCTCTTCTTCCTTTTCATTCATTCTTTTCACCACCTTTTGTACAACTTTTCTTTTTCTTAAACTTTCTTCCTCCTTTTCTTCCAAACACTTTATGTTTTTAATTCCCCCTTTTCCTAGTTTCCTTTTCTTTCCCTTTCCTCAACCAAGCACTTTGTGCCTTTACTTCTTTTTCCCTTTTTCTTCTTCTTTTCCTCCAAATTTCCAACACTTTGTATTTTTATACATTGCAGAAACACCTTTCTCCATACAGAACTTTCATCCAGGAACCGTTTATCTGAAACATGTAATCTGAAAACTGGGATAGATGCAGGCTCTTGATTTTATCAACAACAAACATAGGCTCAAGGTTTTCATGCAATGGGAACATTTGGTTCAAAAGAGAATGCCTCAATCAACTCTACCTTACAAATCATGAACCATTTCAAGCAAGAAACAGGGGAAGTTCTAGAGTTACTCATGCAGTGAAGTGCTCTCGGAATAAATATTTTTTGTATAGGCTCAATTCCTCACAGTTCAGAGTGCATGCTTCACTACCTCTATATACATCAAAACTGATCTCTCTACTCTTCACATAGAATGAGTCATGCAATCATATCATTTTAGAACACATGCAAAGATTCAAGATTGTATCCTAAAATTTGATCAATCATGTAAAACTTTGATCATCCAATCCTCATGGAATTTCACATCACATTAACTCAAATCCAAATTCTCTACATACAAAAACTACCTAAACTACATCACACAAGAAACTTAAAAGAAAGAATTTATATGTTTCCCTGTTTGTGGCTCATCAAACTGTGTGACATCTCCACGATATTTGCATGTCATTCACTCACACTTCATTCCCAGATTTAAACGTTGTTGTCCCCAACAACTAATTTAAATCTAAAATAACAGTTGAACACTGAAACACAGTCACATATCATCAAATAGCATCAGTACTATTTCAAAATGTGCATCTATCAAAATAGGAAATCTCAATGTACTTAACGAAAATAAAACCAAAAAAATAGAAAAATATGGAAAAACAACAAGAGAAATCTAATCAGTCGACTCCTCATCATCAGAAAATAGTAGATCAGATCCTGGGTCATCAGTAGGTAACGGGTTGTACTCAGCATCAGCATCCCTGTCCTCATCCATGGCAGGAGTATCACCAGCAATCTGATCACCATCAGCAGTGGCATCAACAAAAGTCTAAGCAGAAGCAGTAGGCTGGGCAGGAGGAGCAGTATTAGTAGTCACACCCGCAGTGGCCAGAGTATCATAGTAGGTGCAGACATCTGCCTCAAATGCGTCCTCCTCCTCGGAATGTGGATAAATAGCAGGCTGGAATTCAGCTGTCTCTAAACCCTGGGCCTCACAGAGATCGGTCAGCATCTTGATCATATGAGTCTGAAATGAGTGCTGACTCGTCTGTATGAACTTGAGACGGCAACGTAAATGACCCAATCGAATGTCATTGTTAACCAGCCACTGCTCCCCGAATCTAAGCCTTTGTTCAAGCTCAGAATCCTCCTCAGTCATGGGTTTCCTGCCAGGTGTCAATCCAGAGGGTCCTTCTCCTCCAATCTTCAACTGCTGTCTGATCAGCTTTTCTTCAATTGGGGGATGCAATTTGGTTAGCACCCCATTATCAGTTACATCCACTCCAGCTTTCTGGCACAGAAGCTGAATCAGAGAACAGTGACCCAAAGCAGAAGTGTTGCTATCAGAATGGGCCATATCATATATACTGTCTTGAAGAAGAATAGGTAGCTCAACCTTCCCTTTAGTCATGATGGTA